AAGTTTGCCAGATTCCAAATTACATTTAAAAACCAAAAGCTTTCCCATATAGGAAGAAAAAGATAAATTTGAAAATACAACAGAAAATGATGTTAATAGAACACATAAAAACTCCTGAAGATAAATTTAATAAGAAATTCACAGGACCTAAATGAAGAAAACTATTGAACTATAAAAAGAATACAAAGGGCCAGGCGTGGTGGCTCACGCTTGTAATCCCAGCACTTTGGGAGGCCAAGGAGGGTAGATCACGAGGTCAGGAGATCGAGACCATCCTGGCTAACACGGTGAAACCCCGTCTCTACTAAAAAATACAAAAAATTAGCTGGGCGTGGTGGCGGGCGCCTGTGGTCCCAGTTACTTGGGAGGCTGAGGCAGGAGAATGGCGTGAACCCAGGGAGCGGAGCTTGCAGTGAGTCGAGATTGCGCCACTGCACTCCAGCCTGGGCGGCAGAGCGAGACTCCGTCTCAGAAACAAAAACAGAATACAAAGAAAGACTTAAATAAATGCACAAACATAATGTGTTGTTGGAAAAGACTCCACGTGACCCAAATATCAATTATTCTAAATGAAATCCATAAACTCAGTGCAAATCTGCAAACCCAAAGCAAATCTGGGCAGAGGGGGAGAAGCAAAAAGATTCCAAAACTCATCCAGAACAACTGAAGAGCCAGAAAAATACCATATGCCAATAAGAGCAAGGAACAGAAACCTGCTCACCACCTATCACAGCACCCATGCCATGAGACCCCCTTATAAGCATCAGGACCACATCACATGCAGGTGGGATTCTGGTGCATGATTAAAGAATTTTCCAAATCAGCAGGGAAAAAGTGAGCAATGCAGATGACTGGCTAGCCATTAGGAAAGCAATGTCTGGTTCCCTCTCTCAGTCTGTGCACTAAAATAAATTCCAGGCCGGTCAAATATTTAAATATCAACAAATAGGCCAGGCATGGTGGCTTATGCCTGTAATCCCAACACTTTGGGAGGCCGAGGTAGAAGAATCACTCGAGGCCAGGAGTTTCAGACCAGCCTATGCAACAGAGATACCATTTCTACAAAAAATTTTAAAAATTAGTCAGGTAAGATGGTGTGTACCTGTGTTCCCAGCTACTCAGGAGGCTAGGGTGGAAGAATCGCTTGAGCTCAGGAATTTGAGGCTGCAGTGAGCTAATGGCACTACTATACTCCAGCCTGGGTGACAGTGCAAAGCTCTGTCTCAAAAATTAAAAAAAAAAAATTCCAATTGTCAATAAACAATTTTCAGGGTAAAATCTGAATATTAGAAATAAGAAGTGGAATAAGCCTCCCTAAGGCTTCTTACAGCATCCAAAAGCTACATGGAAAAGAGGCACACTTAACTACAAAAAATGAAACTATAAAACACAGTCAAAGATGATCCTGGGGAAAATATTCCTAACACTTTTATATAATAATTTTCCTTAAAAAGCTCTAATTTCGGCCGGGCACAATGGCTCACATCTGTAATCCCAGCACTTTGGGAGACTGAGGCACTCGGACCATGAGGTCCGGAGATCGAGACCATCCTGGCTAACACAGTGAAACCCCGTCTCTACTAAAAATACAAAAAAATTAGCCGGGCGTGGTGATGGGCGTCTGTAGTCCCAGCTACTCAGGAGGCTGAGGCAGGAGAATGGCGTGAATCCGGGAGGCAGGGGCGCTTGCAGTGAGTGGAGATCGCGCCACTGCACTCCAGCCTGGGCGACAGAGCAAGACTCTGTCTCAAAAAAAAAAAAAAAGCTCTAATTTCCCTAATATGTAAGCTTTAACAAGAGAAAAGGTCGAACTCAACAAAAATGTGAACAAAGGACACAAAAATAATTCACAGAAAAAACATGAAGCCAGGCGCGGTGGCTCACGCCTGTAATCCTAGCACTTTGGGAGGCCGAGGCAGGTGGATCATGAGGTCAGGAGATCGAGACTATCCTGGCTAACACGGTGAAACCCTGTCTCTACTAAAAATACAAAAATATTAACTGGGAATGGTGGTGGGCGCCTGTAGTCCCAGCTACTCAGGAGGCTGAGGCAGGAGAATGGCGTGAACCCGGGAGGCGGAGCTTGCAGTGAGCCAACTCCAGCCTAGGCAACAGAGACTCCATCCCAGAAAAAAAAAAAGAAGAAACATGAAAAGTTACCATACTTAAGGCTTAAATGCAAATCAAGTGCAGTCTCTCATTCTGCTCCTAAGAATATAAATTACTGTATTATTGATGTTACTTTGGTGATAACCATTAAATTGTTCAAAAAGCACAAAAATAATAGATACATAATTGCTATGTTTTCCACAGCATAAATTCATAGGCAAGCTTTACTTTCTAAAGTATACATGTCTATGTTGTTTGAATGATTTACAATGACTGCTGTTTATTTATAGAGACAGGGTCTTGCTCTGTCACCAAGGCTGGAGTATGGTCATGCGATCATAATTCACTGCAGCCTCAACCTTCTGGGCTCAAGCAATCCTTCCGCCTCAGTCTCCCATGTAGCTGGGACTGCATGCATGTGTCACTACACCAGGCTACTTTTTGTGGAGGTTTTTTTTTGTAGACACGAGGTTTCACCATGGTGCCCAGGCTGGTCTCTAACTCCTGAGCTCAAGTGATCTGCCTGTCTCAGCCTTCCAAAGTGTTGGGATTACAGGCATGAGCCACTGTACCCAGTCTGTTTATTTTTTAAAACAGAAATCATAGAGAGCAAAAGCATCCCCTTGAAGGTATATTCCACTCTCTCTCCCTTGGCCGGGTCATGTCTGATAGATTAAACACAAGGAAAACAACACAAAGTACTGTGGCAAAGAAAAATTGTTCCCAAATGAACTCAAACCTTACCCTGATTGCTTTCAGTCCATTGGACACTTTATTTTCTTCCACAACTGCAATCACTTCCTGTCCAACATTCAGAAGCACTTTGCTAGTCACAGCATCACTGGAGAAGTAGATCAAATCATCAATCATGCCATAATCACTGCAGTATCTTGTCACGACACCCCGTACAGTTTTCAGCTTAGTGTCACCTGAGATGGGTAAACAAAAGTTATCTTGGCCATAAAAGCAAGGGCACACTACAGTGAAGTCCCACCAGAGAAAGGCAGAGTGCAAAAGCCTCCATGAAGGACTGTCGCCTAACGGGCTGACTTGAGACAGAGAGAATCCCATCAGAGAGTGCTGTGTCTGGAACGTGGGGTTTGGGGGCAGACAGCCCAGTTTCCTCTGAAGGGCACAGGTAGTGGCTGTGGAGGTGACAGCCCTGACTCCACAGCAGACTGCGGGGGTTGACTTCCAGCTCTTCTACCGCCATTGGTGTAACCTGGACGAGGTCCTTAACTACTCTGGGCCTGTTGCCATCTGTAAGATGGAGACTAATCGTCACTACCCAAGGGAGCTGCTGGAGGGTTCAGTGGCAGAACACACATGCATGTATGGACCTCTGCGTGGCTGACACAAGTTAAGTGCTACGTAAACTGCCACGTATATCAGCATCTGGGAGATACTAGCATGCACGGTTTTATTAGCGCTATCGATTATCTTCTTTCATCACCATCAGCAGCAGTCTTAGAAAACTAGAGAATCTCAACAAATATGCTGCTAGAAAAGGTTCGGGGCTGGGCAGGCAAGTTTGACCCAGGAGCAGGGCACCCCTCAGCCATTTGGCTACTGCTGCAGCCATGGTCCTGAGTTCTGAACGCGCCTTTCCTGCAGCTTCCAAGCCACGGGAGGAACGAGGGGCGCCGGTTACGGTACAGGCAAGGAATCTCGGCTCTGCCAAGAGCTGGAGCTCCAGCTACGGCTGAGAGCGTTCTACCGAAGAGACCCAGGTCTGCGGAGCAAGTGCTCCAGGTAACACAGCCGGCCCCCCGGGCGCCGGCCCCTCCCAGGCATCGGCCCCTGTGGATCCAGAGGCCCTGAACACGCTGCCTGCAGCAGGAAGCTCCCCGCTTGAAGCCTGCTCCTGGTTTCTCTCACAGAAGGCAACTAGGGACCCACTACCGTGGATTTCATTACCACAGAAGGAAACATGGGGAGAAGCCACAAGAACCTCGGGAGAGGCTGGGCGCGGTGGCTCACGCCTGTAATCCCAGCACTTTGGGAGGCCAAGTCGGGTGGGTCACCTGAGATCAGGAGTTCGAGACCAGCCTGACCAACATGGCGAAAACTCCTCTCTACTAAAAATACAAAAATTAGCCGGGCGTGGAGGCAGGTGCCTGTACACCCAGCTACTCGGGAGGCTGAGGCAGGAGAATCGGTTGAACCCGGGAGGCGGAAGTTGCGGTGAGCCGAGATCGCGCCACTGCACTCCACCCTGGGTGACAAGAGCAAAACTCTGTTTCACAAAAACAACAAAAACAACAAAAAACAAACAAAAAAACACCTCGGGAGAAAGGAATCGTGCGGGAATCCGAGCGCATCCCCGGCTTTAGGAAGATGGGCTCGGAAGCAAGGCAAGGCCAAGGCGCGCGCGGGCGCAGCGCGTTCTGAAAGGACAGGCGAGGTCGGCGGGGCGGCGTTTTCCGGGGCTTTCTAGGCACACAG